CTTCCCCTCTGCGCCGCCCCTTCTCCAGTCTGCGTCCTCCGCGCCTCGCCTCGCCTCTCCTCTCCTCGCCTCTCCTCTCCTCTCCTCTCTTCCTCTCCCTCGCGCCGGCTCTCCTCCCCCTCTCCCAGCCCCCACCGCATCTATCCACTGGCAGGAGCAGGAGCGGCGGGCGGTCTGAGGCAGTCAGTCCTCCCAGCCAGGCAGGACTGCCAGGGACTTCCTACTTGATCCAATTAGCGCGATAAAGGCCATGCAATCAAAGGCGCAGGCACGGGGCTGGGCCCCCACCCTGCCCTCCCCTCCTCCGGTCCTGCTGAGGCCCAGCCTCCTGCCCCACCTTGCCTGCCTGCTCTCTTGCTGGCTCCCTGGGCCTCACCCACGCTGGGTCAGAAAGAGCCAGCACCACAAGGCTGGCTGGGCGGGGATGGAGGTGGGCCCTTCTGGGCTGGACCTGAGGCTTGGTGAAGTCGGCCATCTGATCCTCCCTGGAGAGGTGAGCCTTCCCGGGCAGTCTCTCCCCTGCTGCTGAGCACAGCCCCTCCTGGCTGGAGGAAGCTCTCTCTCCCTGGCCAGCCCTACCATGGACAGCTCTCCTGGTCCCCAGGGCGATGACTGTGCAAGGCCGGGAAGCCCAGTGCGCCATGCTGACATGTGCTGAGGCGTTGGGGCAGGTGGGGGGCTCTCCACTCCCCTCCCTTCACACTTCCATGGTCCTTGTCCCACCCACAAGTCCTAGGCTGCAGTGAAGCCAGGAGGAAAGCCCAGGAGGGAACCGGTGCCCTCGAAGGCTGCCCCCTCCAGCCCAGCCCTGCACGTGGGCTGGTGTCGGTTCGGCTCAGGCTCCAGAGGGGCAGCACAAGGCAGATGCTATCAACCTTACGGCACCAGGGGAGGCATGGTGCAAAGGTCAGCGTTCTCAGAGAGCGTCCTGTCGGGCAGCTCCCACGTTCCACCGCTTCACCGCAGACAGCCTCAATGCGGGTCTTTCCCTTTACGACAGTGGCTTTGAGATAGCCAGGAGCGCTGGCCCAACCTCACAGCCCGGCTGCTGGCCCCACATCCGGGTGGCATCAGTGGTACCGTCTGCACCTGGGTCTTGAACCCGCACTCACCGTGCCTGGACAGCCAGATGGTTCCCCAGGTCTTTCTGCCACCGTGTCAATGCAGTCAACGCTCTCCAACCCCCAAGACAGATCCAGCACCGGAGTCCCAGAGCAGGCAAGTCCGACTCAAGCCGACAGACCTGCCTTACGCACGGCCTGTGTCACCCAGCACATGAGCACTGCTCTGAAATAGCTCCAGCAGGCCCGAGAGGAGCGTGAGCACGGCCTTCCAGGTGGGATTTCTCCACGATTATAAATAAGCTGAAGAGCATTACTACCGTAAACTGTGTCTGCGGTACTGTGATCAACAACCATAAAAGCCTGAGCTAACTTGCATAATTGTGACCACGACTCTGACAAGCTGTGGGCAGATGAGTTAGCCTTCAGTTCGCCTCCGTGTCCCGGCTCCGCCCACCAGGAGCCAGCATTCCCTTTCCAAGGTTAGAGCAGGGGAGCCCTGGCAAGGATGCTAACAAAGGACAGGGGACCTCGGGCCTGGAACTCGCTACAGAAGCGCTCCAAGTAGTCAAGCAGAAAGACACTAAGGGTTCATTGTCAACAGCCATGTGAGTATTCAAACCATCACAGCCAGATCGATGTGTGTGCTGCATGAGGGGATTTATAATTCCTTCAAAGATCACCCAGTTCAAAGCTGGCACGTAACTCCTCCGTCCTGCCCCCAACCAAGATTATACTCGGTTAAATACACTGGCATTTCATCCATGGCCGAGGTCGGCTACATTTCAAAGACCAGAGTGGGGCCCAGTAACCCTGAGCCAGGCGGGCTGGAGATGATGCCAAGGACATGACCCAAGTGGAGAAAAGGGGGGCCTCTGGTCATGCTGATGGCAATTACTCCCCTCACCCCAATTCTTAAGAGCAAGCATATTCAGCAGACCGAAAAAATACCTTAGACCCCTTATATGAAGGCTGGGACGGAACATCAGAGCCCACGTCTCACGGGCTGCCAGAGTGCCTCTTGTCCTGGACTGCACGCTCCTGCCCGCCCACATTCCATGGCCTTGTGGCACCTGGTTCCAAGGTCAGCTTGCAGGGAGCCAGTTTCTTATAAAAAGCTTTTTCCTACCAACTTGGAAGATGAACATAACTGGGGAAACAGGCTGGGACAGGAGGAGAAGGAAGAAGGGAATTCTCCATCACTTCTGTCCTCAGGACCAGGGGCCAGGAGTAGCCTTCCTCCCTTCCTGGACTCCCTACAGCAACGGACGCGTAAGGAGGGCAGTGTGAACCGAGCAGGGGCGGAACGTCCCCTGGATAAACACACACGTGCACGGGAGGAACGGCCAGGGTACTCTGTTTCACCCCTTTATACGCCACCCAGCAAAGCCCAGGGGCACCCACATTTTCATGTTCTATTAAGAACTGAAATTTCAGAACCTTTATTACGCCTTTTCCCATAACAAAAGCTACACTTACTGAACTCTACCTCAGTGCCAGGCTCCCTGCTAGGTTCCCAGTATCCACGACTTCTGAGCTTCACTGACGCTGCAGTTCATCTTAGAGGCAGAGAAACTGGCTCAGGCCACCTAGGGACTCAGATGCCCAGCTCCAGGCCGGCCTGAACCAGGTCTGAGTCAGGCTAGTTCTGCCGAGGAATATTGCTTTTCTGTTTTCATCAGAAGAATGCATCTATTATATATCTCCCTTCAATGAGAGAATAAGAGAACTGGAAAGTACAACAGTGAAGGAGGGATTATTGCCTTTAGAGTTTCCAAACACACTTCAAGTTGTCTAGTTTCCAAAACAAGAGCCTTTTAAAATTTCGCCTAGTGATTTCGTAAGTCATAAGGATTAAACACAGGTCATTTACTGACTTCGAGTTTAAGTTGGATGGCTTCTTGCCTGGTCCCAGACTTCCTTCAGAAAGCTATCAGGGATCTGTCTAGCTATGAAACAAACTGCCCTAAAATAGTGTAAACCACCACTGCTCTATCCCAGCCCGCCAGTCTGCAGGACGACGGGCTCAGCGGGGCGGTTCTTCTGCTGCAGTCCAGGTCAGCCGAAACACTCCAGGCGGCTCCCACCCATGACAGGCGGCTGGCCCAGACCTCAGCCGGCAGCCCGGTGGGGCTGTGAGTGGAGCACCGACACACGGCCTCTCCGCAGCATGGTGGCTGGGCTCCGCAAGGAAGCATTCCAAGAGGGAGCGAGCAGCAGCTGCCAGTCCATTGAGAAGACAGCGGAAGTGGCAAGGTCATTTCCAACTGTCCCACTAGGTGAGCAGTCACTGGGCCTGCCCAGATTCGAGGATGGGGAAGTGAATCCTGATGGAAAGGGAGATTGACAAAGGGTTTTCAGCCACAGCTGACTGGCCACAGGAGGCAGGGAAGTGGAGCGTGCAGGTTGGCCCAGGTCAGCA